CGGCGCCGATACTGGTCACGCCGATGACGATGATGGCACCCACGCGTCGGTGATGAAGTTCCGGGGGCGATTCCGCCTTGCGCGCACGGATGATTCGGGCGAGTGTCCCGCATGTTGTTTTTGATAGGGATCGTGCTTCCCACCCCTCCAGCAATTGCGCGAACGGCCTTCGAATGATTCCGACCTGCGTGCGACAGGCCCGCTTCGTCGCATCGGTTGGGATGTATAACGCGCGCAGATGACCGTTAGAGATCAGGTTGCAAAACTTTTGTTCCCATCAATGTGGTCGGGAAAGTCGCCTTCGAAATCTGTACAAAACCGAAGGTGGGGGGACAATTCCAGTATGCGCGCGACGACGCGCGCGTGCCCATTTTTGCTTCTGTCGCAGAGGATGTATGACAATCGTGGTTCATGATACACGGGTGTGCGAGTAGGGTTTTTTGCTTGACAGGGTCTCGATGGGATGGCACGAGTGCATCCATGAGATGAACGATGGGGGGATTCGTGTTTGAATTGCGTTCTTCTGGGGGGGGCGGCCGTTTTTTGGGGGGGCGAGGGTCGATCCGAGGCTGTTCTCCGGCAGGAAGTCGGCGCTGGGCGGCGACGGGCGCCACCGGCGACAGCAGAGCCGCCGGACGAACGGTTGGGCCCAGACGACGGGCGGCGACGAGGCGGGGGCGGGGCGGCGACGGCGACAGCATGGGTCAGACCCAGACGACGGGCGGCGACGGGGCGACGACGGGGCGGCGACGGCGACAGCTTTTCCACCAGGCCGACGGTCAGGACTTGACGACGGGCTACGACGGGGCGACGGCGGGGCGGCGACGGCGACAACAGATCCGCCAAAGCGGTGGTCAAGCCCAGACGACGCGAGGCGACGACGCGGCGACGAGGCGGCGACGGCGATATCACAGCTGCCCGACCGATGGTCAGGCCTTGTTGCGTACACCGTGAGCTCAAGCCCGTAGGTGCAACGTTCGTCGCTCGGAAAACGTAACAACCCTAAGTGCAGCCTTTGCTTGGGAGACATCGAAAAGCCTTCCGACGCGCTCATCGGGGTCCTCTTGGGGCCATCTATCTCAATGCGCCGTCTGGGGGGTACTTTGGGCGCTCTCGGGCCGACGCAGGGCCCTCGTGGACCGCTCCAGGGGCCTCTTGGGATCCTCTTGGCCAATATTCTCTCTCTCTCTCTCTCGCTTTCCCTTTCCCTTTCTCTCCAGCTTCTCGGACAAGCCACGCGACCCGAGGAGCGTCACCGGTCTTCGATACGGAGGGCTGGGAGGAACTTGGGGGCACTCCTCTGAGTGCCTACGGCGCGGCGGCGGATTCCCTTGGATCGAGTTAAACCCATTGTGGTCGGGTCATAGTCCTCGGAGGGAGGAGAAGCGATACCAACACCACCTGGGGGCCCACCGCCAGGAGGAGGAGGAGGAGGGGAGGAGGAGGAGGAGGAGGAGAAGAACGCGGAGGCGGAGGAGGAGGCAACCTGGGCTGCGTGGATGATCGACCGACCGAGGAGGTCCGCAAGGCCTCTCCGAGCTGGAGGCTGGTCGATGTCTCGAGCGAGAGGGGGGGACCACACCACCAGGGAGTTCCCCCTTGCCTCCTCGCACCTCCTCGCCCTGCTGGTGTTGGTGTCGCCGCTCCTTGTTCCTAAGCCCATCCAGCGCAGTCTTGCTTACTCTGGACTTCGCAATCAAAGGGGCGTGGTCTGAGTTTTTAGTGGGGGGGGCTTCGTGCTTTCTTGGAGGGTCCCAGTGGGACCAGGGAAAAAGGGGAGTGGTCTGATTCCCCACATCCTGAGTGGGGTTCTTGTTTTCCCAGAACACCCTCTCCTTCCCACCCACCTCCCGCTCCATCTTCCATACAGCACAATACTATTCCTACCACACACACCATACCATACCATAGTTCCTACCACACATACCATACCATACCATACCATACCATACCACACCATGCGTACCATACCGTACCATACCATACCATGGCGTACCATAGCATACCATACCATATCACACCAATGCCACACCGTACCATACCATACCATAGCTCCAGTACCCATACCATATACCATACCATACCTACCATACCATTCCATACCACTCCATACCGAAAACCACCCCTCCAGGGAGGCCCCGCCTGAGCGAGGAGGGTATCGGAATACCATACTATTTACATGGTTTCGTGCCCCTCCCACCCCTCCAGGGAGGCCCCGCCTGAGCGAGGAGGGTATCGGAATACCATACTATTTACATGGTTTCGTGCCCCTCCCACCCCTCCAGGGAGGCCCCGCCTGAGCGAGGAGGGTATCGGAATACCATACTATTTACATGGTTTCGTGCCCCTCCCACCCCTCCAGGGAGGCCCCGCCTGAGCGAGGAGGGTATCGGAATACCATACTATTTACATGGTTTCGTGCCCCTCCCACCCCTCCAGGGAGGCCCCGCCTGAGCGAGGAGGGTATCGGAATACCATACTATTTACATGGTTTCGTGCCCCTCCCACCCCTCCAGGGAGGCCCCGCCTGAGCGAGGAGGGTATCGGAATACCATACTATTTACATGGTTTCGTGCCCCTCCCACCCCTCCAGGGAGGCCCCGCCTGAGCGAGGAGGGTATCGGAATACCATACTATTTACATGGTTTCGTGCCCCTCCCACCCCTCCAGGGAGGCCCCGCCTGAGCGAGGAGGGTATCGGAATACCATACTATTTACATGGTTTCGTGCCCCTCCCACCCCTCCAGGGAGGCCCCGCCTGAGCGAGGAGGGTATCGGAATACCATACTATTTACATGGTTTCGTGCCCCTCCCACCCCTCCAGGGAGGCCCCGCCTGAGCGAGGAGGGTATCGGAATACCATACTATTTACATGGTTTCGTGCCCCTCCCACCCCTCCAGGGAGGCCCCGCCTGAGCGAGCGAGGAGGGTATCGGAATACCATACTATTTACATGGTTTCGTGCCCCTCCCACCCCTCGCCTGAGCGAGGAGGGTATCGGAATACCATACTATTTACATGGTTTCGTGGGAGGCCCCGCCTGAGCGAGGAGGGTATCGGAATACCATACTATTTACATGGTTTCGTGCCCCTCCCACCCCTCCAGGGAGGCCCCGCCTGAGCGAGGAGGGTATCGGAATACCATACTATTTACATGGTTTCGTGCCCCTCCCACCCCTCCAGGGAGGCCCCGCCTGAGCGAGGAGGGTATCGGAATACCATACTATTTACATGGTTTCGTGCCCCTCCCACCCCTCCAGGGAGGCCCCGCCTGAGCGAGGAGGGTATCGGAATACCATACTATTTACATGGTTTCGTGCCCCTCCCACCCCTCCAGGGAGGCCCCGCCTGAGCGAGGAGGGTATCGGAATACCATACTATTTACATGGTTTCGTGCCCCTCCCACCCCTCCAGGGAGGCCCCGCCTGAGCGAGGAGGGTATCGGAATACCATACTATTTACATGGTTTCGTGCCCCTCCCACCCCTCCAGGGAGGCCCCGCCTGAGCGAGGAGGGTATCGGCTGGCCACTCCTCGCCAGGTTTCGTAGCCCTCCCCCCTTCCAGCGGGGCTCCGCCAAAGCGAGGAGGGCATCAAGAAAATGGGTTCCACGAAACCGTGAATCTCTTTATGTGGGGAACTCCGTTAGCATAATTTGTTTCTGAGGGTCGTTCGTGCTGTCTTGGAGGGTCCCAGTGGGACCAGGGACAAAAGGCCGCCCTTTCGTGGCCGGTCTGGGAGGGGGTCCAGAGTTGCTCGTCTTGAAGGGTTGAGACCCCTCCTTTTTAAAAATGTGTGCATATATACGTGTATATACACATATATATATATATATATATATATATATATATATACGTGTGTATATATATATATATATATATACACACATCGTGGACTAGTCTGACTTAGTCCGTTGCCGGATCCGGCCTCAGCTGGCCCAGCCGGTCCTTTCGGCTGGCCTGATGTGGCGCGATCGCGCCCGCGAAGACTGTCGGGGATCTGCCAACGATTGTTGGCGGCGCGCCGAGGGGGGTATAGGGGGAGGGGGGGAGGCTTCTTAGAAGCACCCTTGCTTCTTAGAAGGCGCGAGCACTGTCTGTAGATGTAAGACTGGCGCCTTCTAAGCAGCAGCCTCCTTCTAAGATGCCTTCCCCCTCCCCCTACCCCCCCTCTGCGCGCCGTCAAAAGATGTCCAGGATTTGCTAACGATGGAGGACAATCTCATACGGTGGGGGCGTTAGTGAAGGAACACGCCCAGGATGCTGCAGACTCTGGAGGATTCTTTCTCTGATGAGGGCGGCGGTGATATCCATGGCCAGGCCTCGGCTGGAGTTCCACTGGCCTCCAGACCCTGGACTGGATTCCTTTTATCTACGCGTTCCTTATCCGACGATGCCCCCACCGTACTGTCAGAGGTCCGCGCGGACGTCTCTGGTCGGCGCGGGGCCCCCAGGCGGCATCCTCTTTTGGCCCGCGCTCCCCGCGCCTCAGGGAGGGGGGGACTCCCGCGCCGATGCAAGCAGGCCCTGCGGACCTCCGACGGTGTGCGTGTCCTGCCGTCTCCTCCTTCTCATACGGAGCTTCCCGCTCCCCCTCCCCACACGTAGGGGCACGAACCATGTCGTGAACAGAAAAGCTCGGAGGGCCGCGCGGAGTTCTCGGATCGGCGCTGGGCACCCCCGGCGGCGCCTTTTTGCGCCGCCCCCGGCGCGCTCCGCGCGCTCGGGAGGGGGCTCCCGCGCCGATGCGAGAAATCCGCGCCGACCTCCGAGTTTTGATGGTTACAGTCGGGTCGCTGGAGAAGGGACCCTTTTTGTTGGCGAGGGGCTCCGTGTTCCTTTTAAGTGTTTCACAGCTTGCCTTTGGTTGTCCTTCTGTTTTCGATGGGACATCGAAGTTCAACTCATGGGCAAAAGGGGCCTCGTTCCTTGTTTAGGGTTCCTTGGGTCAACGCCCCGACTGGATGCCATTCTTCGTTCCCCCGAGACGCTCCCTTTCTGGATGGTGGCGGCTGCGTTCCTGTTCCCCGACGGCAGCCCCTGCGCCCTCCTGCCCCTGCGGGCGGCGCCGCCTGCGGGCGTCGAGGGGGTGACCGGCAAGCGGAGCGCCGGCCCCGCGGCCGCGAACGAGGTCGTCTTCAGCCTCTCCCGGCCGCGCGACGCCATCGCGGGGGCCGCCAGCGGCCTAAAGACCGCGGCCCTTGGAGAAGGGTGAACAGAAGCAGAATACTAAGATCGCTTAACTAATAAAGTATGAGAAAGATAGGAAGAACAACACAGATAAAAATATTAATACGAATGATAAGATTACGAATAATAATAATAATAATACTAATACTAATAATAATAATAGTAATAATAATAATATTACTAATAGTAACACGAAGAAGAAACATAGTACGAAGAAGAAGCGGCATGAACATAGACTGTCGCAGCTCCGCGCGGGCTTCTCGGATCAGCGCTGGCCCTCCCTGGCGGTGCCTCTGGCGCCGCCGCCCCTAGCGCGCCCTGGCGCGCTTCGCTCGCCAAGGAGTGGGGGCAGCGCCGATCCGAGGAATCCTCGCGGAGCTCCGAAAGTTCCTGTCCGTGTTCCCCGCCCCACACCCCAACCCCCTTCGTGAAGTGGTTCTGCTAGAGAAACGGTTGACCAGATGGTAGATCTAATCCCCTGTGCGTCCGGTATTGGTTTCTCCAAGGGTGACGCCCGTGGTGCTCACTTGAGCGCCCCCCCTGCCCCACCCACCCACGCACGGACGCAACCACCCGCCCCCCACCTACCTGCGCACGCGCCTGTTCCCGGGAAAGGGGGGGGCGCGGTGGCGTGCGGGGTGAGCAGGAGGATGGAGGGGAGGAGGGGGAGGGGGGAGGTGACAGAGGATATAGAGGGAGCAGGGGGGATATGGGATAAGACCAGCAATCCTCACGGAACGCCTCTAGGCCCGCAGCACGGCGATGGGCGCCGCGGCGCTGGCGCGGGCGCCCCTCGAGGCCGCCCACGCGGACGGCCTGGGCGAGGCGCTGTGGTGCCTGGGCGAGGGCCTCGCCGGTGCCGTGCTGCTGCCATGCGGCGGCTTGGCGGTGGGGCTGTCGCAGTGCGCGCGGGGGGTGGCCAACACCCCAGAGGCCGTGGTGCTCAGACGAAGTCACCCAGACCGCCTCGCGCCGTGAAAAAAACGTGATTCAGGCGATCGCAAGCATGGACCAACTAGGGGGGGGCGTGGATTAGCGACGGGTCCCGCTTCCGTGGGACATCGCGGATTTCCGCCGCCGGGCGAGGCGGCAACGGCCGCATTTTGGGGAGGGCACTTCCCCCGATCCATGGATTTGGCGACCGCGCGTCAAATCCATGGATCGCTAATCCATGCTTGTGCAAGGGCGCCCTCGAGGGCGCGAAGTTATTCGCGCTTCGCGGTTCGGCTCCGATTCCTCCGCATCCTCCTCTTCTCCCCTGGGAGGCGGCGCGAGAGCACGAAGTTATTCGCGCTTCGCGCAGCGCGAAGCGCGAAGTTGGGAGGTCTTGTTGTGCGCCCCCGAATGATGGAAGGTGTCTCCCTGTTTTCGGCCTCCGTGGGACCTCACCTGGCCCCGCGGCTGTCAGACAACGATGCAGCAGTAGAAGCAGAGGCCAAGACCTACGTCATGAAGAAATCACGACGGCGGGTGCTTCGGGAGAGGCCCAGGGTATCGCTGCCCCGCTTGGGCCTCCTGCCTCCCCCTCCCCTCCCCCTCCCCTCCCCATCTCCCTCCCCCTTCCCTCCCCCTCCCCCTCCCCCTCCCCCTCCCCTCTCGTCGCCACGGCTGGACTCGCCGCGAGTTTCTGGTCGGAACGCACCCCGGGCGAGGTCCTGTGAATGGCGGTGCTGGTACCCGATGGCTTCCCAAGAGGCGGTCGTGCAGTCCCTGCGCGGTCTCGCGTGGTGCTCCAAGCAGCGCGCCTGGGCGCCGCCCGCTGGCTACAGCCTTCCAGAGGACCGACGAGTAACAAGCGGCATGCATGAAACTTTCGAAGCTCCGCGAGGATTTTTGGGATCGGCGCGGCAACCCCTAGCCGGAGGGTTCCGAAGAATGTGTTTGGGGAGGGGGTTTTCCTCCAGGGATCCCCCAGGGGCTTCGCACCCCCTATTTTGACGAGGTTCCGAGGCCCCTGGGGGCTCTCTGGAAAGCCTCCTCCCCACAAATCCTTTTTGGAACCCTCCGGCCTAGCGCCGCCTCCAGCGCCGCCTCTGGCGCGCTCCGCGCTCCAGAAGGTGGGGGGTTCCGCGCAGATCCGAGAAATCCGCGCGGACCTCAGAAAGTGCAGGTTCATACACCTTAGGCGATGCTTAAGAAAACCTAAGTTTTCGGCCAGAGGCTCGATTATTCTTAATGTTTCAATGTAAATCCTAAGATTGTAATAGAAATGTTGGGTTTTAGTTCAAGTTCTGAGACGATGAATTTCTGAACCCATGATTTCTTGAGCATTTCGCAGGGTGTACCGTCGGCACCCTGCTGAATTTTGAAACCTGGCGTTGCGAAAATATGCAGCATCGCGACAGATCACGACCAGCGCCCCAGACCCCATCGGCCTGGGTAGTGTGTCGAGCCGGATCGACCCGTGCTGGCCCCAGAGCCAGGCAAGGGACGAACATGCCAAAAAACGGGGCAAAAAAAGACCGTACAGTCGGGGCGCTGAGGAAGGAGCCCTTTTCGTTGGGGGGGGGGCTCGATATTCCTTAATCGTTCCACACCTTGTCTAAGGTTTTCCTTATGTTTTCGATGGGGAGTCAAAGTTTAACTTACGAAAAAAGGGGCCTCGTTCCTTATTCAGGGTTCCTTAGGTCAACGCCCCGACTGTATACGGTAGGTTCGTGTCGTGTCGACCCAGCATCGTTCGATGTGGAACGATTTGGGCGTCTCGGAAATGACCGATCGCTCAAGGTTGCACGATCCCCGCGGCGGCAGAAACCAGCGCCGAAGTCGGCACGACACGAACCTGACGTAGGGGACCTCCGAAGGTCTCTGTTCATGCCGCGTGCTCTTCCCGCAGAGGAGGCCAGGCGCGCGGACGACAGGGCGGCGCCGCCGCGCGGCCCTCCCGCGCCCGCTGCGGGGCGGCCCGACCGCGACGGGGGCGAGGCGGCCAGCAGCTCTCAGCCCCCGTCGTGGTCCTCGCCGGGAGCGGCCTCAACTGTCGGAGCCGTGCAGCGCCACGTGCCCAGCCTGTACGCGGCCCTCCGCTGCCACCCCGCGGCGTCGCGCACCGAGCTCCGGCACGCGTACTACCGCGAGTCGCGCAGGTGCCACCCCGACAAGGCGGGCGGCAGCCCGCAGGCCGTGGCGCAGTTCCAGGCGCTCTCGGAGGCGTACAAGGTGCTCCGCGACCCCGCTCTGCGGCGAGCGTACGACGTGGGAGGCCACGAGGCGGTGGTCCTCGAAGGAGAGCAAATGGCACAGACATGAATCTTTGGAGCTCCGCGGAGATCTCTTGGATTGGCGCTGGGATCCCCCTGGCCGCGCCTCTTGCGCCGCCCCTGGCGCTCCGCACGCCAGGGAGGGGGCATCAGCGCAGATCCGAACAGGCCGCGCGGCCCTCCGAGCGTGCACGCGTATGCTTTTACCTGCTCGGCTCCAGGTCCAGGCCTCGACGACGGTGGACCTGGGCGAGCTCTACGCCGCCGTGATGAGCGGGAGGCAGTGGAGGCCGTATGTTGGGCAGTTTGCCCTGGAGCGGATCCTGGCCACGGACTTCCGGGCGGACGCTGGCCCGGAGGAGGCGGAGCTGCTCGAGCTGCTCGGCTCCGTGTGGTGCGCCGGCGAGGGCCCCGTGGACGCGTGGCAGGCGGAGCGCGAGGTCCAGGGGCAACGGCAGGGGGGGATAGCCCCCCACAGGAGAGGGGGAAGCGTCGTCTTCCGTCGGGCGTGTCCCCCTACAGGAGGAACGTTCAAGAACAGTTTAAAGAAATAGTCTGGGGACGATTTCTGTTCGATGTGTGGAGTAATGTGGGGTACTTCTATTTTTCCGCCCAGAATCCGCCTGTAGGGGGACTTGCCCGACCTAAGCGTCGTCCCCCGATCGCCCACACATCGCCGGCCTGGGCCCGGCCCCCCCCTGCCTCGCCCAGGAACGCGCGGCTGCGCCATCGGGGGCTAATTATCTCATGGAATGGAAAATTTGGAGCCCCGCGCGGATTTCCTGGCTGGGCGCTGGGCCCCTCCCCCTCGCCAGGGGCGGCGCGTGCGGCGCTGTCAGGACGCCGGGCGCTGTTCCGAGAGATCCGCGCGGATCTCCGAGAGTTATGCTCCTGCCGCTTGAGCTTTGTCCGTAGCGCCATTTTGGCACCAGCTTGGCCCAAGAGCCCAAGGCGCACTCTGGCAGACCGCCCCCCCCCCCAAGTGTACCCAGCCCCCCGACGCGATTTTTTTCACGCCGTCGACCCCCAGAGGTCTCGACCCCTTCCCTGGGACCGGTTCCTCATCCTGAGTCGGTTTTGGACGGCCCCGAGGGCCGCCGAGGGCCCCCCGAGGACGACAATGGTGAAAAACCCTCCGTCATGACTTTTTCACACCGCGTCGGGGTCTGGGTAGGCAGGAGCCGCAGCGATGGCCCGCGGGGCGAACGTGCTCCCCGTGCTGCTCGTGCTCGCCGCCTGCGGGCTCCTGCTGTGGAAGTCGATGATAATGGAGAGGAAGCATGCTGCCAAATTATCTCCAGATGTCTAAAAGATATTTCAACTATGTGTTGAATATGTCTTTATTTTGAATAAGAAAACCTGTTTGGAACATGTTCAGAACATGTCTTACACATGGTAAACTCATCTTTAATCTTCAATGATAGGACTGTTCGAGTGCCCATTGCCATGGCACCCGCAAGGCTCCTGCTGCGCGGCACGCGGTCCCCGGACGCCGCCTTCGCGCCGGCCGGCACCCGCAGCGTGCACCGCCAGTGCCGGCCCACGGGCGGCGCGGGCGCCCTCGCGCTCGGCGCGGCGCCCGCGGTCGTCAGCACGGTCCCCGCCCGCGGCGACGTGGCCGCCCACTTCAAGGCGAGCGGCGCAGAACTCGGGCCGGACGAAAGGGGGGGACAGGGAAAGGGGGGGGAGTGCGAAATCTGCTGCATGCAGCTGGGTTCGGCCCCACCGAGGGGCCCATTCCTCGAGACATGGCAGCCTCCCGGCGCCGGGAGGTGCCGGGAAAATCAGCTGCGTGAGCTGATCTCAAACCCCCCTCTTTGCTATCCCCCCTTTCGCCCGGCCCGAAGAAAAGCTGGGCCGTTGGGCGTGTCCCCCTACAAGCAGATTCTGGATGAAAAATACCGACAACCCAACCATGCTTTTAAAATAAACACATAGTAAAACAAATCGTCCCCGCACTGTTCTTGCACTATATTGGAATTTTCCTCCTGTAGAGGGACATGCCCGACTTAAGCGTAAGCTGCCCGCGCAAGGTCGCGCGTGAGCGCCCTCGTCTCCAACGTGGCGTGCCGCGCCGGCGGCCCCCGTAAGCCTGCGGCGTCAGGTCTCGCTCTGCCCTCTCGCGTGAAGCCCGTTGCGGATCGTGGCCCAGGTGACCTTGGAGACCCCAGACGGCACGCAGGAGTTCGAGTGCCCCGAGGACTGTGGAAGTCGATTAAAGGAGAGGAGGCATGCTGCAATTTTTTCCAGATGTCTAAAAATTGTTTCAGATATGTTTTGAATATGTTAAAAACATGTTCGAAACATGTTTGTAACATGTTTTACACATTTCAAACACATCATTAATTCAATGATAGGATTGTTAGAGTGTCCATTGTCATGGCATCCACAACCCGAGGACGTGTATATCCTCGACCAGGCCGAGGAGGAGGGTCTCGAGCTGCCGTACTCCTGCCGCGCGGGCTCGTGCTCCAGCTGCGCCGGCAAGGTGCTGTCTGGCGAGATCGACCAGTCGGACCAGGCCTTCCTGGACGAAGACCAGACGGGGGAGGGTTTCTGCCTCACGTGCGTGACCTACGCCACCTCGGATGTCACTATCAAGACGCATTGTGAGGACGACCTCTGAGCGCGGCCGGGTCGCTTTGCCTACAGAGTGCCAGCGTCACCGCTGGCAACGGTTCGAGGGAGAGTTTGGGCAGGTGAGGCCGGCAGGTGCAAGGATTCGTGTGCAGGGCCAGATGGGTCCACCGCGGGTTCTGTGCGACATACGTTTAGATGAACAGCCATGGCTGGGAGTACACTGCCCGGCGGGGCCATCAAGTTTTCGCGCGCTCGTCCGCGTCGCATCTCCATTTCGGCGCAGGCTGCTGGATGGGGGAGCGGGCGAGAAAGCAAGCCAGCGGCCGACGAGAAGAACAACACAGGCCGCTTATTCTTCCCCTACTACCTTTAAGTCGGGCGTGTCCCTCTAAAGGAGGAGTGTTCACACATAGTCAAAACATAGTCTGGGGACGATGTTTTGACTCTTTGTTTTCGTATGTTTATTGAATGTTTGCAGTATCTTTCATCTTTCGCCCAAAATTTCTCTGTAAAGGGACACGCCCGACCTATTACTACCTGTGGTGCATAGACGCGTGACGTCTCCGACACCTCGGCCCGCCGATTCCAAGTCACTGCTCCCCGCCCCATGGGCCAGTCCCTCAGTGGGCCCTGGAGACAGCAGGGCCGTTGTTTCATCTCACCGTGTCCGACAAGGTGTTTCTTGAACACAGAAGTGGTTTATGTATATAAAAATATATGTATATTGCTACATGTCCAGAATATAACAAACGAAACATACAAAAATTCAAAAAACGGAAACGGTTCAAAACGGCTCCAGGAATGGGTCCGGTGCTGGCACCAGGAAAACGGCGACCAAAACCGGCGACAAAACACCGGCGACGGAACCGGCAGAAAAACGGCGAGGGAATCGACAATAGAACGTCAGAATGGGGCTGCTGAAAAACCCGCCCTGTCGATTCCTGGGCCCAGTATCGCCTGTTGCTAGAAGTGCCCCGGGCCCAGTTCCCAAAGAGACCACCGAAGCCTCCAGAGCTCCCCTCACGAAGGCCAGAGGTCCCATGGGTCCACACTGGAACGAACAGCTGGGGGCACCTTGGGCCAGGGGCACCTTTCGTAAGCCCCGACGCTAACGCAGACCCCCGACGTCACGATTTGTTTCTCAACGTGGGCCCCCAGCGGTCTGGACCTGTTCCCTGGGATTGGATTTTCGTCCCGAGGTGTTTCTGACGTGCCGTCGCGATTTTGCTCACAATGCGAAGGGGTCTGGGTTTAGTAACCCCCGACACGAAGGTCCGATGTTAGCGTCTACTAACGTCGACTTAGCGTTCGAGAATCGATAGCTAAGAGAGCGCCGACTTAGCGTCGGCTAGCATCGACTAGCGTCGATTGAGCCTCCATCACCCATGAGTCGCCACCGAAGGGTCACCCCTAAGGGGGTTGCTTGTTGTGTCCTCTGGCGCGTAACGGTCGCTGCCAGGGCTAAACCCCCCTTGCCTCCCGCATGGGCAGAGGTAACGATCGCACGTAGGAGGGGCGGGGTCTGGATGCCCCCACACATGGAGTCTCCCATGCGTTGCCACCGCATTGGGGAACCCCCGACACGAAGGTCCCCCTCCCCCGGTCGCTTCTGGTGGGCCTGTTTTCCACCACCACCACCACCACCGTACGTTGGATGGGGAGGTGTCCTCCTCCTCCACCTCCTCCACCTCCTCCTCCTTCTCCTCGTCGTCCGCCTCCTTCCTCCCCTCCAACTTGATGGTGGTGGTGGTGGAAAACAGACCCGTCAGCTTCCACTCCCAGGTGCGGTGCGCGGTGGCCCTCGCGGAGCGGCTGCGGCAGGCCGTGTCCGGGGAGGTGCACGCCTTCGGGCGCGCCATGCAGGCGGAGGCGCGCCGGCTGGCGTGCGCGCCGTTCGCGCCGCTGCTGCTGCGCGCGGTGGCCGAGGTGTACGACAGCGAGGCCTCGGGAGGGGGTGTGGGAGAACATGCCCAGACCTGGAGGGTGTCTCCGAAGGGCTTAGTCGATCCCTCCTCCTCCTCCTCCTCCTCCTCCTCTTCCTCCTCCTCCTCCTCCTACTTCTCCTCGCCCCTCCTCCTCCTCCTCCTCCTCTTCCTCCTCCTCCATGTCCTCCCCCCCCTCCCCCTCCTCCTCCCTCCTCCTCCTCCTCCTCCTCCTCCTCCTCCTCCTCCTCCCCCCTCCTCCCCTCGGGAGTCGGTATCGGTTGACAATCCACATCCCCATCCCCATCCCCTTCGAGACCCCCACCGTCTTTTTGGACCTCTTTCGGAGACCCCACCCCCATCCCCTTCGAGACCCCATCCCCATCCCCATCCCCTTTCGCCTTCTTGGACCTCTTGGGGAGCCCTCGTCGCCGCGGCTGGATTCGCCGCGAAGTTCTGGTCCGAGAGGTCCAGGGATTAGCGGAATCGGTAACTCTGGGTTTTCCGCGACATGTGCATGCAGTTGGCACGAGAGTTTAGGACAGGCTTGGATTTGGAGGGTTACCGTTCTATTCTTCGGTATTGGCCCTCCATTTTGAAGGCGGGGAAAAATATAATTTGCATACGTCGATGGAAGAAGCACGGGGACCATGACCAAGATGCCGCAGGATCTTATCGACGCCGATCGCCGGTCATGGTCCACACTGGCCGTCGCCGAGTCGCGAGGATGATCCACGAATTCACCCTAACCAAGGCCGACGGTGACCTAGCTCGACACTGGCGTTGCCGCTTTTGGTCGTGGTCATGGTCCCCGCGTTCTTCCTCTCTAATTCAGTTGGCACTAGGGTTAAGGAGAGCCCTGGGTTTGGAGGGATACCCCTCCGTTCTTAGCTCTTGGCACTCCCCTTTGGACCTTTTGTATGTGACTGAGGTCCATCGGCGAAGGGTTGCCAAACCGTTACGACGGAGAGGGTTGAGCACGTGTCGGCCTCCACAGGCCCTCACGGCTTCCCTTGCGCGTCAAAAAAGGATAAGTATAGCCCGTCATAGGGGAAGGAATGCAGGCCTCCAGCGCAAGACGCAGCGCTGGAGCTATGGAAGCACAGGAGGTGCCGAGAGCCGCGATCCGGTTCCTTGGATCGGCTGAGGGGCCCCTTTGGCGGCGCAAGTGGCCCGTAACTGCTTCCCGCGAGCAGTGGGGAACCGACCCCAGCCCCCACAGCGATGGATTTTACACGTCAGCGTTTTGCATGTGTGGCGAGTGTGCGGAAGTGTAGGCGCCCTCTCGGCGAGGCCACTGCCAGCTGCCGCAGGGGGGGCCCGCGCGCGCGGCGACGTGCCCCGGGGGCCCGCGCGCGCGGCGGCGTGCCGGGCCCATTCGGCGCGGCCGAGTCCGCGCCGGCATTCCTGGGGCCGCGCGGGCCACGGCCGCGGCATGCAGCTTGAGGCGGCGGCGGCGCTGCCTCTCACACGGCAGCGCCGCTGGCCCAGCCGCGGGCCCTCGCCCCGTCCTCCGTCGCCCCCTCGTAACCCGCCGGCGGAAAAGTTTAGATCGGGAGCGTTTCTATTGAGGCAACTGTTCCAATATGAGGTTTTTTGGGGCGCTCTTTCTCTCTCTCTCTCTTTCTCTCTTTCTCTCTCTCTCTCTCTCGCGCTCTCTCTCTCTATATATCTCTCTCTCTCTCTCTCTCCTCTCCCTGTATATATATATATGTATATATGTATATATATATATATACACGTGTAAACTTTTCGGGGCTCTCCCGTGCGAGATTTGTCGATTCGGCGAAATTTAGATCGATTGGATACAGAGATCATTTGTAAACTTTAGCTCGCCTGGTGCCTAAATTTTGCTGTTGGGGTGGGCCTACGCTTTTCGATGCGCGCCCGTGCGGGGTGGGCCCCCGGTGTCGTCCCGGGCTCTTGCCAGCGCCGCCGAGAGCCGACGCGCCTTCTGGTTTTTGCCTCGGCACGGGCGCGCGAACGTCCACGATGATTTCGGGTGTTGACAGCGTGCCAGCACAACGCAACGCCAATTCATCAAATGCCAACGAGCATAGCAGCAGCGCGCCGTTCGCAGTGATTTGTGCGGCGTTGTCGTTGGATGACCGTCGAGCTGTTCCCGCTTGCATTTCACGCGTCGTAAGTTTGACGGTCCCATTGATTTTAAGTGTTTCATGTGGGTGGCGGGGGTCGTTTTACATGCGTTCATCCCGCGATATAGGATGAAGTGAATCGACTGGAGGCGGCGGTTGGTCAGGAAGGGGAAACACATAGACACAAGTCTTCGTCGACTCCTGGGAAAATATGAGAACATTTGGGAAGTGGGGGGAAGACGGTACCATGCACAAGTGGAAACAGTATGGACAATCGTTGGATGTGCGTGCGGATGTATTTGTATGTTTTTGGGCCCCTTCAGTTATACTTTTGGCCGCCGAGCCCGCAACCTAGGGCACAACCAATCGCAGGCCGTGTTGTTTTGGGCGGCCTAGCCCGCACTTTGTGGTTCAATCATCAGCAGGCCCTTCTGTCCTCGGCCGGACCCTCGCGAGCAAAGCAGGTTTGTTTTTATCGGTCGCTTGTGTTTTCCTGGCGACAGAGCCACCCAACAGGGAAACGAGGAAAAGGGAGTTTCCCTTTTTAGGGCTTGGGGCGAATACAGGTGCCGCTTTTGGGGCCCATCCTACATGCCCAGAGGCGCTCGTGCCAATCATTCCCCTCCCCATTTTGTCTTAAGTCGGTCGTGTCCTTCTACAGGGGAATCGTCTAACATATGTGTTTAATGGTATGGGGACAGTTATAATACTATGATTGGGATGCATTGTTTAGTTGGTGCATTTGGGTTTTTTTTTTACATCGAGCTGTCCCTCCAAAATCTGCCTGTATGGTCGTGCCCGCCCCAAGTCTTGTCACGTCGTCCCCCCGTCGCAGTCTCCACAGTGAAGTAGGACAGGGGCACGGATGGCGGGGAGGACTTTGGCGATGATGGTGACGATCACGACGAGGCCAGAGCCGACGACGGCCAGACCGACGGGGCCCCGGAACCGGATGGACCCGACAGTTCGGGGCTCAAGAGACGGGGGTCAATGCGAACGGGGGTCAGCCAGGGCACTGGACCTGCAGGATCCTGCGAAAACCCCCTCTGGCTGACCTGGGTTAGCGAGCCGCTCGTGGCCGCGAGGCGGCCGCGCATATTGGCGAAGATTTGCGTTGCAGCTTTTTGTTCCTGCATTGCAGTTGTTTGGTTTCCTGCTGACCCGGGTCTGGATTGACCCGGGTCAGAAGATCCCCGAACAGTCTCTTCGTGGTTGCGCCGTGTTCACGCCCGCCATTTGGGCTGACGGTGGGACTCAAGCCTAGGCGTCAGCATCCAGGAATTAAGCCCAGGCTCCAGGAATAGATGTTTCGGGACTATTCGCTGCTCAGCCTGGCGAACAGAGCGGAGGGCGGACGATTCGATGACGGCTGAATGATCCGAGGTCAGACGGTCCGACACCTGGTTTGATTCAGCATCCATCGGCGCTTGTTGTTCCGTGGTAAAAAAACTGGCCTCAATTGGCCAAACGCATCATCCTGCTGTATGCTGGCTGTTGGGCTGAATCTGGGGTCATCTGGCTCACTGGCCTTTCAGTCTGACCGTTCTTACGACGACCTCCCAGAAGTTCCCCCCCCCGACCGACCCTGGCCAGCTGTCCTGTGATTCAGACCCCCGACGTCATGATTGTTTCACGGCGTGGTAAATCTTGACCCCTTCGCGGGGACCGGCTTTTCATCCCGAGATGTTTTCTGACGGCGCCGTGGCCCTTTGAGTACCCCCCCAGGCCGAACATGTGAAACAGGTCCGTCAGTTTGTTTCACGACGCCAGGAGGTCTGAGGGCGTTCTCCCCAATCGGGCCTCATAGCCTATCATCGTTGTGATGAAGACCTCCCAGCACTTGCCACCTGCCCAACTGGCGATCAGTCTCAAGTCGGGCACGTCCCCCTACAGGAGGAACATTCAAAGATAGTCAGGGTACGACTTTCGGACTAGTTTTGATAATTTGGGAATATGGTTTGCTGTTTTTTGTTAAAGCAAGGACAAAGAACACATGTTCGTCCAGAATCCCCCTGACCGTCGTCGTCGGGGGTCAGTTTTATGATGCTCCAATCTACGTTAGCCCTGACCACCAGACAGAATTTCAAGCGCCAGAGAAACTACCGAAACTCAAGGGATTTCACGTGTCGGGCCCTGGGAGACACTCGCCCGACACTGTTTCGACACTCTTTTGACACTTTTCCGGGTGCTCGAAATTATTTCTGGGATGCGGCCCTCAAGCAGAATGGGAACTAGATAAGGTCAGTGTATCTTCTTGGCGGCGGAGAGTTTCTTGCAGCACTGGGCCAGCTCCTGCTCCTGTCTCGCGTGTCCTCCGTTTGGATGGTGTCCTGTGTGCGGCGGCGGAGAGTTTCTTGCAGCACTGGGCCCGTTCCTGCTCCTGCCTCGTGTGTCCTCCGTTTGGATGGTGTCCTGTGTGTGTTCAGTTCCTGTCTTGTTTACAAGTTTGAAACATATCCCTATCCCTATGTTTGACATCACCTCACCTCGATGCTGAGCTTAAGGATTCCCTCAGTTTCTGCGGGCCTATCCCTGAGATTGTCCTAGCTTTTTGCTCGCCCACCATAGGGACAGGGATACGTTCGAGGCTGGTTATCTGTTCCTGCCCTGTGTGTCCTTCGGCTGCGTCCTGTGCCATTCGTGCGTTCCTGCAGCACTGGGCCAGTTCCTGCTCCTGCCTCGCGTGTCCTCTGTTTGGATGGTGTCCTGTGTGTGCTCTTCGGGGGCCACATGCGAACCTTACCCCTACCCCCCCCTCAGAAATCGTGGGGGGTAGGGGTAGGGTTCGCATGTGGCCCCCTGTCCTCCGTTTGGCTGGTGTCCTGTGTGTGCTCTGTTCCTCCCTCGTGTGTCCTTCGGCTGCGTCCTGTGCCACTCGTGCGTTTTCGGTGCTGCTCCTGGCCGCCGCGGCCAGGCCCAGCGCGCGGGCGCGGGCGCGCGGGCCTCCCTCCCTCCCTCTCTCCTCCTCCTCCTCCTCCTCCTCCTCCCCTCCTCCTCCTCCCCTCCTCCTCCTCCTCCTCCTCCTCCTCCTCCCTCCCTCCTCCCTTCTCCCCCCCCTCCTCCTCCTCCTCCCCCTCCTCCTCCTCCTCCCTCTCCTCCTCCTCCTCCCTCCTCCCCCTCCTCCTTCTCCCCCCTCTCCCTTTCCCCCATCCCTCTTTCCCCGTCCTCCCTCCCCCGACGCAGCACATCTGCGCGCTAGCAGAGCGAGCGGGGCCCCAGGGAGGGCCCCCAGGACGAGCTCTGAGCTTCTTAAGCCGGGCATGCTCTCTTTGGGTGGAGGGCAAAGGGTGAAATCTGAAATGCCGTTTCGATGGATTGATTGTCGAGGTGCGAAAGCCCATAAGGAGTTCACCTTGAGCCCTCCACCCTAAGAATATGCCCAGTGACCCGGCGACGAACGGTTTTCTATGAACGTGTTCGTTGTCGGGGGCGCTTGTCCCATGGCGGCTGGAAAGTTTATACCCTTGCGGTGGCACGTCAAGGCGAAAAATTCCCAGCCGCCCTGGGGCAGCGCCCCCGGCGACGGAAAAGTCTATGTTGTACCGAGATTGCGTTTTCCTGAGATTGCGTTTTTCCTGAGATTGCGTTTTCCTGAGATTGCGTCTTCGCCCTCCAAGGTTTTCCTGAGATTGCGTTTTATCCTCTGGTGCGTAGCGGTCGCTACCAGGGCCAAACCTCTCCCCTTCGCCCTCCCCAGGGTGACGGTAACGATTGCACGCAGGGGGGGGGGACATGGACCACACCCCACTTGGCGCTCGCGCGCATTTCATGGCGATCGCAGCGCCCCTCCGCCCTCCCCCGACGTGCCCCAGGCCCTAATCCCACCACCCACTCCCCGCGGGGTATCGACCATGACCGATACAGTCGGACCGAGGTTTCAGATCGAGGTCGGTTCGGGGAGGGTACTCTGGTGTCCTTCGTGCTTGTTGGATGTTCTTGTGCATCCTGGGGGGGTACCCATGGATGCTCTGTTTGTATTGACCGACGGAGGGTCTCATGTTCTTCTGGCCTGGGTCCGACTAGAATAAACAGCAATTCCGAGCATCTAACTCCTTCCAGAGGCGAAGCAGTTCCTGCACACCCTGCCGGCGTTCGACTTGCGGCGGGAGGCCTGGGCGCTGCGCAATTGAAAGAGCAATTAGCTATTTGCGTATCTATCTATCTGTCTATCTATCTACACATACTTGTTGTGCACCTTGAGGGCCCTACAGGGGCCGAAGAAGCGGCACGAAAGGTATACGTTCCCCCCCCCTCCGTTCCCAGACCCCCGACGCCCTGACGTTTTCATAACGTTGACCCCCAGAGGTCTCGACCCCTTCCCCGGGACCGGCGTCTCTTCCAGAGTTGTTTTTTGACGTTCCCGAGGCCCAGGAAAGGCTCCCGAAGACCGAAAATGATGCAACACCTCCCGGCGTTTTGTTTTTCTCGCTCAAGCAGTGGCGAAGCGTCTTGGCGTGCTTATAGTCCTACCAAACAATTTTCTAGGAACCTGTTTTTGGTTCCCACGACATGTTTTTATAACATTTTTGGTTGGGACGACCTTGTTTCATCACATCGGTTTAACGTTCTAAGAACATCGTGTCTGTTCTTAGATCACCTTTGGGTTCTGCGAACCTTGCGTGGTAGGACTCCAGGCATGCCGGGGCGGTCGGTCCCTGCTCAATTCACAGCGCGAGGGGGTCTCGGTCCGTGGATCGTCGACCCCCGGGAAGATGTGAGAAAACATGGGAAGTGGGGGGAAGGCGCAGGCCCAGAAAACATAGGAACAACAACTCTGGAGCATCCTGCGAGTTGTGTGTGTGTGTGTGCGTGCGTGCGTGCGTGCGTGCGCGCGCGTGTGTGTGTGTGTGTGTGTGTGTGTGTGTGTGTGTGTGTGTGCGTGTGTGTGTGTGTGTGCGTGTGTGCGTGTGTGCGTGTGTGTGTGCGTGTGTGCGTGTGTGCGTGTGTGCGTGTGTGCGTGTGTGCGTGTGTGCGTGTGCGCGTGTGTGCGTGTTTGCGTGTGTGCGTGTGTGCGTGTGTGCGTGTGTGCGTGTGTGCGTGTGTGCGTGTGTGCGTGTGTGCGTGTGTGCGTGTGTGCGTGAGCGCGTGAGCGCGTGAGCGCGTGTGCGCGTGTGCGCGTGTGCGCGTGTGCGCGTG